CCAAACCTCACACTAAAATGTGGCCCCCAGTGTTGGAGAGGGGCCTGGTGGGAGGTATTTGGGTCAGGGGGTGGATCCCTCAAGAACAGATTAATGCCCGGGGTGACTGAGTTCTCACTCTTATTAACTTCCCATAATAGTTGTTAAAAGAACCTGGAGCCTCCTCCCTCCCTCTCGCTGCTTCTCTAGCCAGTGCTTGGCACACACTGGGTCTGCACATGCTAGATCTCCCGAGTGGGAGTGACTTGAGGCCTCACCAGAAGCAGATGCTGGTGCCTGCCATGCTTCTCATACAGCATGCAGAACTGTAAGCCAGACAAACCTCTTTTCCATTTTTTTTTCTTTTGAGATGGAGTCTAGCTCTGTCGCCAGACTGGAGTGCAGTGGCGTGATCTTGGCTCACTGCAACCGCCACCTCCCAGGTTCAAGCGATTCTCCTGCGTCAGCCTCCCAAGGAGCTTGGAAATACAGGCACGTGCCACCACACCCGGCTACAATTTTTTTGTATTTTTAGTGGAGATAGGTTTCACCATGTTGGCCAGGATGGTGTTGATCTTCTGACTTTGTGATCTGCCCACCTCGGCCTCCCAAAATGCTGGGATTACAGGTGTGAGCCACCACTTCCAGCCTAAACTTCTTTTCTTTGTTAATGACCCAGCCTCAGGTATTTCCTTAGTATTTGCATTTATAAAAATGCAAAAAGGCCGGGCGCGGTGGCTCAAGCCTGTAATCCCAGCACTTTGGGAGGCCGAGGCGGGTGGATCACGAGGTCAAGATATCGAGACCATCCTGGTCAACACGGTGAAACCCCGTCTCTACTAAAAATACAAAAAATTAGCTTGGCATGGTGGTGTGTGCCTGTAATCCCAGCTACTCAGGAGGCTGAGGCAGGAGAATTGCCTGAACCCAGGAGGAGGAGGTTGCGGTGAGCCAAGATCGCGCCATTGCACTCCAGCCTGGGTAACGAGCGAAACTCCGTCCCCCCAAAAAAAAAAAAAAAAATGCAAAAAGGCTGAGATAAGCCTTAAAATCAATTGCTGCCTCAGCATCTGTTTTGCTAAGGGCCAAGTTCCCACCTTGGTCCCCTGGATCAGCAGATCTCCCGCACTCCCTATTAGAAGACCCTCTGGAGAACGCTTGCTGTGGGTGTCAGGCTCCGATTCTCTTGTCCCAGCTTCGCAGCCACTTGGGGTAAACTGCGCAACCGTGTGCGCTCCTCAGACACTTACACCCCCAACCCTGGGCTCTCTCAGAGCCGGTGCCCACTCTCCACACCTCCCTGACCTCTGTGCGTGTGTGTGTGAGTGATGGGTCTCTGAGGGTGCCATTATCCCCCAGCACCTATAAGTGATAAATTTCCATGGTGTGTTTCTTCTAATGATTGAAGAAGTGCTCCACATCGTAAAGATTCTAAATTAAAACAGCCCCTAGACCCAATACCCAATATTATTAAAATTACTGATTCCACTCAACAATATTTTGCTGTTATAAATTAGCTAACATGTTCAATTTGGTGCATATTTCAATACCCTTTCAATTTGCCTTCACCTCAGAGGACACAAAAGACCTTTTACAGGCTACCCACCCTCAGCAGCTGTCACCACACAGTCTTTGCAGACGAGATCTTGATCTCACCTTCCTCTGGAAACACAGGTATGACATGACATGGATCACATTCTCTTTCAAGAAGACTCATCTGACAACCAAGCAACCCATCTTCCCAATCTCCCTGGTGGAAACCCCTACCATGCCTCTGGGAGACTCCAGCCTCAGATCGGACTGGTGGCATAGAACAGCCATCCTGACAGGTACGGAGTGATATCTTATCCTGTGCTTAACGGTGTTTAACTTTTCTCATCTGCTCACAAAAACATTTTCATTTTTGAAAGGGGAACATGGCCAGCCAGATGTAGTGACTCACACCTGTAATCCCAGCACTTAGAGATGCCAGCATGGGAGGATTGCTTGAGCCCAGGACTTTGAAGCTGCAGTGAGCTATGATCATGCCACTGCACTCCAGCCTGGGTGATGGCAGAATACCCCATCTCCAACAAACAAACAAAAGAATTGAAGCAAAGGTAGACATTACAGCTGGGCGCAGCAGCTCACACCTGTAATCCAGCACTTTGGGAAGCCGAGGTGAGTGGATCACAAGGTCAGGAGTTCAAGACCAGCCTAGTCAAGATAGTGAAATCCCATCTCTACTAAAAAAACACAAAATTTCCCAGCTACTTGGGAGGCTGAGGCAGGAAGTTGCAGTGAGCCGAGATTGCGCCCTTGCACTCTAGCCTGAGCGACAGTGAGACTCCGTCTCCAAAGAAAAAAAAAATAGAAAAAGAAAAGGGAAACATGAGATTTTTGTCTGCCTTTTAAGTGTGCACACAGAAAACAGGAGAAAACCAGGCTGGGAGCAATGGCTTATGGCTATAATCCCAGCACTTTTTTGGGAGGCTGAGGCAGGTGGATCACTTAAGTCCAGGAGTTCAAGACCAGCCTGGGAAACATGGCGAAACCCCGTCCCAACTAAAAATACAAAAATTAGCCGGGTGTGGTGGAGCATGCACCTGTAGTCCCAGCTACTCAGGAGGGTGAGGTGAAAAGATCACTTTAGCCTGGGAGTTCGAGGCTGCAGTGAGCTGTGAGCACCCCTGCACTCCAGCCTGGGCAACAGTGAGATTCCCCCTCCTCAAAAAACAGAAAACATAGAGGGAAACAAACATGCTGCAAGGCTGTGAGTGGGTGATGCGGAGGGCGTGTGGAGGGGAGGCCAACAACCTCTGTCAAGGTTGAGGGAGGCTGGGTGGTCCTGAAGAGAGGTGGGGGTGTCCTGGGGCCGCCCAAGCTGTCAACAGTGTGCTGGAGGGATTGAGGTCCCGACAGCCGGGATTGGAGGTTATTACTGCTCAAGAGGACAGAGAAGAGAGACAAGGTTATCATTCAGAGAAGGAGAGAGAGGGGCCTGCGGTCTGAAGAAGAATGAGGACATGACCCTGTCTGTTCAGTGCTAGAGGGAAGGGAAAGCGATTCGATTTTGTTGCCACTCTGGTCTGAATGTTTGTGTCTCTATAAAGTTCATGTGATGAAGCTCTAACCCCCAAGGAGAGGGGATTAGGAGGTAGGGCCTTTGAGAGAGGATCAGGTCATGAGGTTAAAGCCCTCATAATTGGGATTAGTGCCTTTTTAACAGAGCCCCAGAGAGTTCCCTTGCCTTTCCACCCTGTGAGGTTACAGGGAGAAGGCACCACCTGTGAATGAGGCAACTGATCCTCACCAGACCCTGGATCTGCTGGCACCTTGACCTGGGACTTCCTAGTCTCCAAACTATAAGAAAGAAGTTTCTGTTCCCCCACTCCCCAGACGGAGTCTTGTTCTGCCGCCCAGGCTGGAGTGCAGTGGCATGATCTCTGCTCACTGCAACCTCCGCCTACCAGGTTCAAGCAATTTTCCTGCCTCAGTGTCCCAAGTAGGTGGAATTACAGGTGTGTGCCACCATGCCCAGCTAATTTTTGTATTTTTAGTAGAGATGGGGTTTAACTATGTTGGCCAGGCTGGTCTCGAAGTCCTGACCTCATGATCCGTCTGCCTCAGCCTTCCACAGTGCTGGGATCACAGGCATTAGCCACTTTGCCCAGAACTTGTGTGGTTTATAAACCATCCAAGCTGTGGCATTTTGTTTTTGTTTTTGTTTTGAGTTAGGGTCTCACTCTGTCATCCAAGCTGGAGGGTAGAGACATGATCATAGCTTATTACAGCCTTGAACTCCTGGGCTCAAGTGATCCTCCCACCTCAGCCAGCCTCCAGAGTTACTAAGACTACAGGTGCATGCCCATACACTTGGCTAATTTTTTTTTTTTAGACGTGGGGTCTTGGTATGTTGCCCAGGCTGCTGTTGAACTCCTGGGATCAAGTGGTTCTCGCACCTCAGCTTCCAGTGAGGACTCACTCAGAGTGCTGGGATTACAGGGATGAGCCATCACACCCAGTCGTATTTTGTTATAGCACCCAGAATGGACTAAGACCATGGGAGAGACACATGTGCCATCTTTCAATCTGTTACTCTGCTGAGAGTGGGCCCTGGGCCTAGAACATTTCCTTACCAAGAGATAAGGGGTCCTCACAGTTTGTGCTGGGCATAGTGCCTTGTGTAGGGGTCTCTTTCCCAATGTGTGCCCCTTTGTTCTGCTCAGGCGTGTGGTTCACATGGCACCTAGACTGCCCCACTGTTAGGTCAGGCTCCCTCTAGAAGGGACCTGCTGGCCTGGAGCTGACAGCCACGTGGACCGATGGTGCTCTGGCTCTGTGAGCAAAACCTCCATTGCGCAGCTGTGCAGTGTTTCCCTTGAAGACTCCAGGATCAAGATCCAGGGTCAGAAAGTGTTCAGACTCACAGTAGCCCTGATCATACATGCCATTTGCTTAGCGGTTCTTATTTTTGTTCTTTTGTGATTTACCCATTACCACTGAATTTCTCTCTTGCGTCTGCGTGGCCCGACCCGATTTTAATCTCTCCAGCCACACCAAGATCCCCTTGGCTCCCAACTGAGCCGGCCCCACCCCTCGCTTTGAGGTCTGCACCAGAGCAGGTCTAGTTGCTAGGGAGCCCCTGGCGGCGTTGCCTTCTGGCCCCGCCCAGAATCCTGGGTTAACTGAGAGGAGAGGATCAGGGGCAGTGCCTGGATTTTCTCAACACACCCAGCATCTGATGCTGGTGACACAGGAGGATGGGCCCTAACCGCGCAGCTCAGAAAGGACTGGAGGGGCTGGGGTGAGGCCCAGAGGCGCACAGCATACACACACCTGCACTCACTGCCCTTGCCCGGAACTGAGCCCAGGAAGTTTGGGGAATCTGTGGGACAGGCGAGGAGTTCAGAGGCCGGGCTTCCTGGGAGTGTTGGTGACAACCTCACACAGTCCTTGGATGGGGCATCCTTGAGGCCATCCCAGGAGCGGCACTCACACCCTGGGGTGCAGGAGCACGGAGCTGGGGGCCCCGGGCTCACCTGGGATGGTTCTCTCTGGGACCTTGGGCTCTTCCCGTCTTCCTCCTCACCGAAACTCCAGTCCTGGTGTTCGACCGAGTCCAGAGATACCAGAACTGTGCGGGAGAAAGGGATCATGAGAGGGGTCTGTTCTTCCCAGAGCCCCCAATTCTCCAGACCTTCTGGGGAGGGCAGACTTTCCCCGAACATCCCTGCAGCACCCCTCAGGTTCAGGCAAGGGTGGCAGCAGGGCCGTCATTCTGTCCCTCCACGTGGCTGTCGGGCAGGAACCTGTGGTGACACCAAGGGCCGCTGAGGACAAGTACCCTCTTTACTGACACTCCACACTACTGTGGGCCTCCAGAAGCCCACGAGGACACTCACTGCAGCACCGACTAACTAGGGAGGGCTGGATACCATGAGCTTTCTGCTCCCCAAGACCCCCGGCATTGCTGTGCACAGAGAGAATGACTGCTGACGGAGGAAGCCAGTTACAGGACACCATTTACAGAAGGGTCAAGACGTGGGAACCAGGCCGGGCGTGGTGGCTCACATTTGTAATCCCAGCACTTTCTGAGGCCAAGGCAGGTGAACCACAAGGTCAGGAGTTTGAGACCAGCCTGACCAACATGGTGAAACCCCATCTCTACTAAAAATTAAAAAATTAGCTGGGCGTGGTAGCAGGAGCCTGTCATCCCAGCGACTCAGGAGGCTGAGGCAGGAGAATCTCTTGAACCTTAGAGGTGGAGATTGCAGTGAGCCAAGAATAAACCACTGCACTCTAGCCTGGGTAACAGAGTAAGACTCCATCACAAAAAAAAAAAAAAAAGACGTGGGAACCAGAAGCATGTACTATTATGGATCCAGTAGGAGGAAACGTTCACAGACAGAGATGGCAATGAAAAATTCAAGGCCAGCCATCACGGTGGCCCACACCTGCAATCCCAGCCCCAGCACTCTGGGAGTCCGAGGTAGGAGGATTGCTTGAGCCCAAGAGTTTGAGAGCAGCCTGGGCAACACGGCGAGACCCCCACCTCTATTTATTTTTTAATTAAAAAAAAGAAAAATTCGGCCAGGCTCAGTGGCTCACACCTGCAATCCCAGCACTTTGGGAGGCTGAGGCGGGCAGATTACCTGAGGTCGGGAGTTCCAAGACCAGCCTGGCCAACATGGTGAAACCTGGTTTCTACTAAAAATACAAAAAATTAGCTGGGCGTGGTGGCAGGTGCCTGTAATCCAGCTACTGTGGAGGCTGAGGCAGGAGAATCACTTGAACCCAGGAGACAGAGGTTGCAGTGAGCCAAGATTGTGCCATTGCACTCCAGCCTGGGCAACAAAAGCAAAACTCCGTCTCAAAACAAAACACACACACACACACACAAAAAAAACAAAAATTCAAGACCACAGCCACCTCTGGGGTATCAGGCAGAGCGGGGAACAACATGACTAGGAGACATGAACTGGGGGTTCAGTCAACTCCACTGGTTGTTCGTTTTTTTTGTGAGATGGAATCTTGCTCTGTCGCCCAGGCTGCAGTGCAGCAGCGTGATCTTGGCTCACTGCAATCTCTGCCTCGCGGGTTCAAGGGATTCTCCTGCCTCAGCTTCCGGAGTAGCTGGGATGTATTGCAGGCATGCACCACCATACCCAGCTATTTTTTGTATTTTTAGTAGAGACAGAGTTTCACCATCTTGGCCAGGCTAGTCTGGAACTGGCCTCAAGTAATCCGCCTGCCTCAGCCTTCCAAAGTACTGGGATTACAGGCATAAACCACCGCGCCTCGCCATGGGTGTTTATTTTAAAACAACGCCAAGCCCGCGGTGGCTCACGCCTATAATCCCAGCACTTTGGGAGGCCGAGGCGGGTGAATCACGAGGTCAAGAGATCAAGACCATCCTGGTCAACATGGTGAAACCCCGTCTCCACTAAAAATACAAAAAATTAGCTGGGCATGGCGGTGCGTGCCTTTAATCCCAGCTACTCAGGAGGCTGAGGCAGGAGAATTGCTTGAACCCAGGAGGCGGAGGTTGCGGTGATCCGAGATCGCGCCATGGCACTCCAGTCTGGGTAACAAGAGCGAAACTCCATTTAAAAAAAAAAAAACCACAACGCCAAGCCAGCCTTTCTGGAGGTTAGGCTTTGATAGGGCAGGGTGTCGGGTGAGGGGCTGTTCATTATACTTGCTTTACTATTTCGTAGGCTCAAAATACGGAATGTAAAAAGCAGACCACAGCTATGGAAGACAAATTTCAGGGTCCTTTGCTCAAAAAGGATGGAGAATTTTGAGAGTGACCATGTAGCATTAAACCTAGCAAGGGTGCCTCTGGGCTGGGATGGCTGTGAGGTCCACAGAGCACCCGAAGCCAGTGCTCTTGGGCCCTCTGCCCCAGGAGCAGAGAGTTCAAAGGCTAATTCATCTGGCTTCTGCCTTGCAGCTTACAGGGCTACCATTGCACCTCTGGTAAGTTCAACTCTCAGAGTTTTCCCAAGCATGGCACTGGCTGCCCTGGGGCAGTATGGAGACCCTGGACTCTGTGTCCTGTGACCTGCTTATCACTTAGTCTACGGGAAAGCTGTAGTGGGAGCTGGCAAGAGAGGGCCTGTTCTTCTCCCTTGCTCCAGCCCCCTTTTCTGTGACCTCTGATCAGGTCCTTCTCACTCCCAGCCTTTGCTCCTGCAGCACAGCTGCCTGGTGCCTCCTCCTTCCTGAGGACCTGCTGGGGAAGCCCTCCCTCGTCCACAGCGCCACGACCACTCTCACCACCCATGGCTGCCTCTTTTGGCCACCCAGTGTCCAATCCCTGCACTTTCGTCACTAGGAGAGCCCCACTCATGGAACCGGGCTCTGGGTGGATGGAATCTCGACGTGGGGTCACAGGGGCAAAGGTGCAGGAGGACAAGGCCCTCTCAGGGGAAGGGGGAGCTGAGAGAGGAGAGGGAGGGAGCCCAGTTTCCACCCCAAATTCCCAGCTCTCAGAGTCGGGGTGCAGACCTAAGCCTCTCCCCACCATCAGCCAGTGGTGGGGCCTGTGCCCAGTGAAGGCTTAAAGATCTCTAGGATTCCGGAGTGTTGCCAGAGGCGCTGCAGGTGGCTGGGAGGAGGTGGCGGGGTAGCGTCCCTCCCAGAGGGCAGCTGGTGAGGAGCAGCAGACACAAAGCCACAGGACAGATGGACACATGGGAAATGGAGGGATCTTTAATAACCGACTGAGTGAGAAATTTGAGGCAGATGAGGCGTGCAGCACGACATTTATATGTAAAAATAATTAAAAACACAGGCGCGGGGCAGGAGAGGTTTGCTGGTCGGGAGGGGCCAGGCAGGGGTGGGAGCGATGCGGGCGGGAAGGAGGGCAGTTCGGTCCTCGGAGACGTCAGGCCCCCTCGCCCGTCCCGGGGCATCGAGCCTGCGCCTCTCACCTTCCTGCTGGCACATCTGTGTGAGGTCCTCCACCAGGCTGGCGGCCTCCCTGCAGCTTCGGGGGCCCTGTGACAGCACCCAGGTCCGCATCTTGCTGGGCAGTGCGCCCAGGAACTGCTCCAACACCAGCAGCTCCAGCATCTGCTCCTTGGAGCGCGCCTCAGGCCTCAGCCACTGGCGGCAAAGCGACCAGAGCTGGCCCAGCGCAAGGTGCGGCCCACCCGCCACGTGGTACTGGAACTGTCGAAACCGCAGACGCTGGGCTTCGGTGTCCCTGGGGCTTGCTGGCCCAGGGTCCCCGTCCTGCTCACTCGGGGTTGGGGTCTGGGGACGTCTGGGGGAGGCAGGGGCTTTGGGCCGTTGGAGCATTTCTCTGGCCAGAGTGCCCTCTGAAGGGTGTGTGTGGACTGGATCCCGAGAGTCTCAGTGGCTCCAGACAGAGCCGGTGTGGCAGGCGGGCGGAGTCAGCAATCAGGGGCCTGCAGAGAAGGGCAGGGACAGAGGGGCCACATCAGACGGTGGCCCTCCCTGCTCAGGATGCCCCTCAGCTCACTTCCTAGTCCTGGCCTCCAGCACCTCAAGGAACTAACCTGCCTTTTCCCCACCTCCTGATCTCATCTTCCACATGCCTCTCAAAGGCTACTCTGCGCCGAATTCAAGCCACTGGCTGCCCGAGGACCTTTGCACCTGCTGTCCAGCCCCTGCCCTTCCCCTCCTAGTTCTTCCCCTCGAAGATGTCCCGGCCATCATCCTCCTGGCGCCATCTTCGAAACCCCCATGCCTTTCTGAACACATCTTTTTCCCTTAGAGTCTATCTCCCTCTCATTTAGTCATTCGACACTCAACGACTGACGAGCTGTGGGAGCAAGAGTGGCTGCCCCCGGGGAGTAGCCAGCGCTGCGCATCAGAAGCTCCAACGGGGATGCAGACATTCTCTACCCATGCAGCCACCTACATGTAGCTGGGAGCACCTGAAATAAGGAACTGAATTTTCAATTTAAATGGAAGCAGCAGGTGGGCTACATAATAATGAACGGTGGCGGCAGCGGCAATGATGGCAGCAGCAGCAGCCTCTGCCCATGGTGTTATCTTTGCTGCCTTCATGCTTTTCCTACCAACTCCAAGCTGGGAGAGGAGGGCAGGAAGGGGGCAAGGGAGACTGGAGACTCTGAAAAGAGACGGAAAGTAGAGGGCAATGAAAAAGTAACTTTTTGTGGCCGGGTGCAGTGGCTCACACCTATAATCCCAGCACTCTGGAGGGCTGAGTGAGGCAGGTGGATCACCTGAGGTCAGGAGTTTGGGACCAGCCTGGCTGACATGGTGAAACCGTCTCTACTAAAAATACAAAAATTAGCTGGGTGTGGTGGCATGCACCTGTAATCCCAGCTACTGGAGAGGCTGAGACAGGAGAATTGCTTGAACCCAGGAGGCAGAGGTTGCAGCGAGCGGAGATTGTGCCACTGCACTCCATCCTGAGCCACAAGGTGAGTCTCTGTCTCAACAAAACACCTTTTGTACATTTCCAAGCCCACTATGGTGAATATATAACTGAAGAAAACATTAAAAGTTATGAAAATAAAAATAAACAGGGAGGTTTTGGTTGTTTGTCTTTAACAACTGTACTCTGAGCTGATCTGATCTGCTGGTGAGAATATAAATTGGCATGACCTTTCTGGAAAGCACTATGAACACTTATATATGAAGAACACTTGGTAGATTGCATGCAAGATGCAAGATTCCGGCACCAAGATTCACTACAAAAGTGCCCAGCTGTTGAATGTGGTGGGATCAACTACCTCCCCCACCATGTGATGGGAGTATTCAATGTGCACGATACACAACACCATGACATGACCATGGGGAGTATATACATGATGTACAGATGACATGAGGCACAGAGAACACGGGATGCAGGATGATGCGTGAGTGTCACAGAAAAGGAGTGCTGGGCAGAGGCCCACAGCGGGCCGGCGAAGTGCTTTGTGTTCTTCATACTTCTCTGAATCTCCTCCAAATGGTGTCAGGATCCCATGTGACCTTCATCAACATGGAAAAACAAAACAAAACAAGAAATCTTTAGGAAGGATTTTTAACTATACGGGAAATGCTTATGACAAGTGAAGGAGAGATTCCATGGGATTTTCCCTCTTCATCCTCTGCTGCATTCTTCGTTCACTCTACAGTTCTTGTGCGTGGGTTTTACAATCCAGGAGAAAGGAGAGGTGCAGGGTGGCAGAAAAGGCAACTCACCAGGCCTGTGCCCCACCAGCAATCTTCAAGTCTTGGACCCGGCCACCTGCACCCTGATTGGGAGACTACAGCTTGGCCTCCCCTGCCGAGACCACAGGCAAATACACTCTCTTACATTGTATTCACACTTTTATCTGTGTACTTTTGAATAAGGAAAAAAGGCCTATTTTGAAGCTCCACAGGTCCAAGAAGTCCCTTTGCCCTGGGGCCTCAGTCCTTATACTCTCTCAGGTGCTCATGGCAGCTCACCCTGGAGATTCCAGGGAGGAGGGCTGTAGCCTCTCAGCATCTTCCAGGTTTCTGGGCTGAGGTCTGTGACAGGAGAGGCTAAGTTTATCGGGGATGAACGTAAAGAAGAGTTCTTAGCAGAGGGCACCAGGGTCCACAGGTGTGTCTGGGGTCTATACGGGGGCTGATGTGGAAAACTCGGGCGTGCCTGAGCTGACAGAGTCCTGGACTGATGGTGGGGGCTGTTTCTGGAAGATGAAGGAGGCCTGGGATGATGTGAAGGGTCCTGAAGTCTGGACCCCTCCATGGGCAATGCTGTGGTGGCCCTGGGGTCCTAGAGATCTACTTTGGTAGGGGTCTGGGATTAATGTTGGGGATGTGTGTGAGAGAGTGTCACTTGGAGGGGTGAGTGCCTGGTGGAAGTGCCGGGTTCACCTGGCATGAGCACTGAGATCTGCAGCCCAGGCCCCAAATTCTATTGCGGGGATGGGCGGAAAGGCTTTGCCGTTGATGCCGGATGCTTATTGACATGGTAGACGTGTTCACTGCGCCAGTCACTGACTGGCTCTGGCTCTGAGAAGGGGGCTTACAACGCCACACAGGGGAGCTCCACAATCAATGAGCTGGGGAAGTAGGCAAGGGCAGCGCGCTAGGAATACGGGGGAGGGGCAGGGACGGAGGCTTAGGTTGGGGGTCGGGATAGGGGTGATTGGGTGGGGGATGGGTCGGGGGAGATAGGTCCAGGGCAGTTGTTCGGATAGGAGCTGGGTTCGAAGGCGGCTGGTTGGAAGGGAGATGGGTTCGGGGGCAGCTGGTCAGGAGGGAGACCGGATGGGGGTGGCTGGTGGGGAGGGAGATGGGTCCTGGGATGCGGATCAGGTGGTGAAGGGAGAACGTGAACGCGGCCAAGCGGGGTCTAGGCGGGCAATGGGGGTGCGTAGAGGGGCTTCTGCCTCAAACTGACAGGCGGATGCCAACGGGGGTCGAGGTCCCTGCGGGAAGGGGCGGCCCCAGCACCCCAAACCCCCGCCCCGCGTGGGCTCTAGCCTTCCCCTTCCCACCCCCCGCCCCCAGCAACCTCGCGACTCCCGACGGGCTCTGGAACCCCGGCCCGGCCCGCCCCCGCCCGGGCCAGCCTCCCCCGACTCGCGCCCCAGGACCGCGATCTCTGGCCAGCTCCCGCCGACGCGGCTCCGCGCCCCTCTGGGAGATGGGCGCTTTGGCGGTTGGAGGAACGGATGGGCCGCGGCGGACTCACCGCGCGCGGGCTCCGCTCCGGCCTGGGCCGCTCAGTGATGGCGACCCCTGGGCTGGCGAGCGCGCCCAGCGCCGCGGGCGGACCACATCCCGGCGCCGCGCGTCAGCGTCACGTCACGCGTAGCGGGACTCCCGGGCAGGGGTGGGGCTGTGACGCACTCGGCGGCCGGGCCAATCGGAAGCCGCCTGGGATGAGCGCCCGCGCCTTCGCCGCGCCCTCCAGTAATCTCGGGCTCCGGCTTGGGTCGCCTTGGCAACTGGTCGCGCGGCTTCCAGAGCACTGCTGAGGGGAGCGGAGAAGGGGCGGGCTGCGGGGATGCGTAAGTACGACGCGGCCGCTGGGCAAAACGCAGGCGTTCCACACACGCAATGGCCATTTCTTTATTTATGACGGAATTTCACTCTTGTTGCCCGGGCTGGAGTGCAGTGGCGTGATTTCGGCTCCCCGCAGCCTCCGCCTCCCGGGTTCAAGCGATTCTCCTGCCTCAGCTTCCCGAATAGCTGAGATTAACGGCGCCCACCACCACATCCCGCTAATTTTTGTATTTTTAGTAGAGACAGGGTTTCATCATGTTGGCCAGCATGGTCTCGAACTCCTGACCTCGTGATCCGCCCGCCTCGACCTTCCAGAGTGCTGGGATTACAGTCCTGAGCCACTGCGTCCAGCCCACGCAACCGTTTTTTACTGTGTCCAAGAGTGGTATGTCGAAACAGTGTTTTTAATATAAATATGTTTAGTACAAGTATGTCCCAGAATAGGATCGCCAGACTTAGCAAATAAAAACACAGGACGTCCAAGTAGATTTGAATTAAGGATAACAGTGAATTTATTTTTAGTATTACTGTGTTTCATATTTAGGGTATTTAAAAAACTTCTTGATATAAATACATGAGTGTAAGTAATTTCCACTGTAATTATGTCCCATAGTATCACAGTAACATTGCCCGATTTAGTAAGCAAAAAATAAAGCTTAGTTATATGTAAACTCAAGAAAAACAAGGACGCCGGGCGCGGTGGCCCATGCCTGTAATCCCAGCACTTGGGAGGCTGAGGCGGGTGGATCATCTGAGGTTGGGTGTTTGCGACCAGCCTCGCCAACATGGTGAAACCCCGTCTCTACTGAAAACACAAAAAGTAGCCAGGCATGCTAGTGCGCCCCTGTAACCCCAAGGCAGGAGAATCGCTTGAACCTGGGAAGCAAAGGTTGCACTGAGCCGAGATCATACCACTACACTCTGGCCTGGGCAACAGGGTGAGACTCTGTCTCTAAATAAATAAATAAAAATAAAAACAAGGAATACATTTTTAGTATCAATGTGTTCTATATTTCACATACTTTAAACAAACATTATATAAGTTCATTGCATGTAAATAATTTTTTCCCCAAATTCAGTCTCTTTAGGAGGAGTGATAAATAATTTTTTTTTCTTTCTTTTTATTTTTTTAAAAGACAGGGTTTCACCATGTTGGCCAGGCTGGTCTTGAACTCCTGACCTCAGGTGATCCACCTGCCTCCCAAAGTGCTGAGATTACAGGCATGAGCCACCACGCCCAGCCAATAAATAATTTTTAATATTAATATGTCTACAGTATAACCATGTGCTAGAATAAGGTTGTCATATTTAGCAAATAACGTAGGACAATATCTAGTTACATTTGAATGTCAGATAAATGATGAATAATGTTTTAGTGTAAACATGTCCCATTACAGTGGCTCATGCCTGTAATCCTAGCACTTTGAGAGGCCGAGGCAGGACAGGAAGATCACTCAAGCCCAGGAGTTGGAGACAGCCTGGGCAACATGGCAAGACTCCATCTCTACAAAAATACAAAAATGACCCTCAGGTGATGGTGCACATGTGTGATGCCAGTTAGGAGGCTGAGGTGGGAGGATCACTTGAGACCAAGAAATTGAGGCTGCAGTGAGCTGTGTCACACTACTGCAGCCTGGGTGACAAAGTGAGACTCTGAAAAACAAAACAAAAATATGTTTCAACAGTGTATTTGAGGCACCCTTGTACCAAATATTAAATACTAACAGTATATCTTATAATTATATTGCAACACGTATTTGGGACATACTTATACTGAATTCTTTTTTATTTTATGTCCTCATATGCAAAATACATTCAACTTATGCTGAATTCTAATGCCAAATTATCTTCTAAATATGAATGGTATAAGTACATTCCAATAGTGTATTTGAGATATAGACTAAAAAAATATTCATTTTGTATTTGAAAATCAGATGGGGGTGAGATCATGATGCAAGGAGTGTCTTCAGCTCTGGGACTGAGCTCAGGGTAGCTGAAGTTGCCCATTGCTGAAGAGGAAGCAGGAGTATGTGAGCTAAGGAAGGAGAGAAGGACCCACCTCCAGGAACCCGAGCCTGAGCACCATGCATCTGCTGAATAGCTGTTTATTGAGGGTCTATGTGTACCAGGCACTGTTCTGGACAGGGGTGGGAGCACATCAGTGAGAGGGACTGATACGGTTTTAGCCCCTTGGAAGCCCATGTTCAGGGGCATTCACCAGTAAACAAAGCAGATGCTTCCTGGAAATATAAATACCTAGAAGAAAATAAAAAGGGGCCTGGAGATTAAAAGTCCCAGGAGTGGTAGCCGGGTGTGGTGGCTCACACGTATAATCCCAGCACTTTGGGAGGCTGAGGTGGGTCGATCACCTGAGGTCAGGACTTCAAGACCAGCCTGGGCAACATGGTGAAATCCTGTCTCTACTAAAAATACAAAAAATTAGCCGGGTGTGGTGGTGCATGCTTGTGATCCCAGCTACTCTGGAGGTTGAGGTGGGAGAATCACTTGAACCCAGGAGGTGGAGGTTGCAGTCAGCCAAGATCATGCCACTGCACTCCAGCCTGGGCAACAGACCAAGACTCCATCTCAAAAAAAAAAAAAAAAAAAGTCCCAGGAGTGTCAGTGAGGGGCTGCCTCAGCTGGATAATCAGAGCCGTGCCTCTGCATCTCCTGCCGGCGGCTGGTCCCTAGAGTGTTGTGTGTGAATGACACTATGGAGAAACCACTATGGGAAAACCAAATGAAGGTGCTAAGGGCTATTATTCTCCTTCTTGAAAATTAGGCACTTGTAATGACATGGTTCATATTCTTGGTAGCAGAAATTGGCCTGGTCCTTTGGGGCAGCAAAGGCTCCTATGTGCATTTATAACTGCTACCCACTTGGGAAATCTCCCTTGAGAGAACACTTAGTTTGTCTCTAGCGTCAGGATCAAAGACACCGTCATAGACCACCTGAACTCTAGATCCACTGGGAGGCAGCCTGGTGTCCAGGGTGTCCAGCAGAGGTTTCAATTTTTTTTTTCTTTTGAGACACAGTCTTGCTTTTGTTACCCAGGCTGGAGTCCAATGGTGCAATTTCAGCTTACTGCAAGCTCCGCCTCTTGGGTTCCAGTGATTCTCCTGCCTCGGCCTCCAGTATAGCTGGGATTACAGGAGCCCACCAGCACGCTCAGCTAATTTTTTGTATTTTTTAGTAAAGACAGGGTTTCACCATGTTGGCCAGACTGGTCTCGAACTCCTGATGTCAAGTAATCCACCCTCCTCAGCCTCCCAAAGTACTGGGATTACAGGTGTGAGCCATTACACCTGGCCTGAAATTTTTTTAAGCAGCAAAAACCTTTGTCCCAAATCCCACTTAAAAAAAAGTTAATCAGCTAAAAGCTGAACTATTGTGGTTACCAGGGGCTAGAAGAAGGGGGAAGGGGAATTCTTTTGGGGGTGATGAAAATATTTTGGAATTAGATTCTGGTGATGATTGCATAACCCTGAAAATATACCAAAAACTACTGAACCGTAAAAGGGTAGCCTGAGCATAGTGACTTGTGCCTGTAATCCCAGCACTTTGGGAGGCTGAGGAGAGGAGGATCACTTGAGGTCAGCAGTTCTAGACCAGCCTGGCCAACATGATGAAACCCAGTCTTTACTAAAAATACAAAAATTAGCCAGGAGTGGTAGTGGCCATCTATTGTCCCACCTACTCGGAAGGCTGAGAAGGGAGAATCGCTTGAACCTGGGAGGCGGACTTTGCAGAGAGTGGAGATCGTGCCATTGCACTGTAGCCTGGGTGACAGAGTGAGGCTCCATCTCAAAAAAGAAGGGTGAATTTTGTGCTGTGTGAGTCATATCTCAATAAAAATGTTTCGGCCAGGTGCAATGGCTCATGCCTGTAATTCCAGCACTTTGTGGGTCCAAGGTGGGAGGATGCTTAAGCCCAGGAGTTTGAGACCAGCCTGGACAACATGGTGAAACCCTGTCTCTACAAAAATTAGAAAAATCAGCCAGGCGTGGTGGCTGTGCCTATAGTCTCAGCTCCTTAGGAGGCTAAGTCAGGAGGATGATCTGAGCCCAGGAGTTCAAGGCTACAGTGAGCTATGATGCACCACTGCACTCCAGCCTGGGTGACAGTGTGAATGTCTAAAAAAATAAAAATGAAGAAAAATGCAGAACTGTTTGAGTTGATGCTATGGCAGAAGATGTAGAGTCCCAGTTTAAAGCACCCCTCTTTTAACCTTTTTACGGAAGACAGTGTGTGGCCCCCTCACACTCAAAAATCAACTCCAGTTGGAACTGGGCCCCATCTCTACAAAAAAATTTAAAAATTAGCCTGGCATGGTGGCACATGCCTGTAGTCCCAGCTACTCGGGAGGCTGAGGTGGGAGGATCGCTTGAGCCCAGGAGTTTGCCAGCCTGGGTGACAGAGTGAGACCTCATCTCTGAAAAGAAAAAAAAAAAAAGCTCACCAAGCCTACCCCAAATTTAG